GGAGAGCAAGAGCCGTGGAGGAGGGGCTGCTGCTAACTGTGGAAGGGCAGAGGCTGCACAGCCAGGCTCCAGAGCACCAGGGAGCAGAGGGATGATGCCCTGGCCTCTCTCTCCTCTGCCCTCATCTCCTACTAGTGCTTCTCCCTCCAGTGGTCACATCCAACCAGAAACCAATCGACAAAGGAGCCTGGCAGATGCAGCCTAAGGGATCCCATGCTGGGGCTCAGAGCTGAGCAGTGGAGGGCAGAGTGGATGAGGGCAGCAGGGGTAGAGGGAGTAGACGGACAGCACGCAGCAGGTGAACATTAAGTCTGTTATGAGGACAAAATGATGTGTGTAACCGTTAGTACGTAGCTTGATGTAGGATCTCAACAAATGGAAGCTGTTTTCTCATTCTTGGTCTGTTTAATGCACTTCTGTGTCCATCTTGTTCCTGACTCAATAAGCCTGTTAAGTCTCCCTGGACGCCTAGTGTGCGCTGTGCCCCTGTGGAGATACAAGCAGTAGCGTGGCTCTGCGACTGCCTTTGGGGACATAGGACATGGGCATAGATGCCCGTGAGACATAGCAGAGGCCTAGAGGACCTCAGCTTCTCATTCTTTTTTATTTTTTTCTTTTTTTTTTTGAGACGGAGTCTCGTTCTATCACCAGGCTGGAGTGCAGTGGTGTGATCCCGGCTCACTGCAACTTCCGTTTTCTGGTTTCAAGCAATTCTCCTGCACCAGCCTCCCTAGTAGCTGGGATTACAGGCAAGCACCACCATGCCTGGCTAATTTTTTGTATTTTTAGTAGAGACGGGGTTTCAACCATGTTGGCCAGGATGGTCTCCATCTCTTGACCTCATGATCCACCTGCCTCGGCCTCACAAAGTGCTGGGATTACAGGTGTGAGCCACGGCACTGGACTTTTTTCTTTTTCAATGCTTGTAAAAGCTCTTTCTTTTTCCAGCTGGATTCAAATTAGAATACACGTTTACTACAGAACACGTGAAACCTGCAGAACATAAAGAAGAGAATGATGTCCCAGCACTTTCGGAGGCCGAGGCGGGTGGATCATGAGGTCAAGAGATCGAGACCATCCTGGTCAACAAGGTGAAACCTCGTCTCTACTAAAAATACAAAAAATTAGCTGGGCATGGTGGCGCGTGCCTGTAATCCCAGCTACTCAGGAGGCTGAGGCAGGAGAATTGCCTGAACCCAGGAGGCGGAGGTTGCGGTGAGCCGAGATCGCGCCATTGCACTCCAGCCTGGGTAACAAGAGCAAAACTCCGTCTCAAAAAAAAAAAAAAAAAGAAAGAAAGAAAAGAAGAGAATGACGTTACCACTGTGCCCTCTCTGGAGATAAGCACTGTTAATATTTTTGTGAATTCCCGACCTCTGCGTATTCCCTTCTGCAGTGTTGGCCTCACACTAGACAATTTCATAACCTGTGGTTTTTTGTCGTTGTTGTTTTCTTTTTCACTTCTTTCATAAGCATTGAAATCGTTCCAAAAATAGCCTTTAATGGCTTCATAAGAGTAAATCACACGTTTGGGACGATGTACTGAAAATCAGCAGACTAACCTCTAATTGCAGCTTCGTCAGTTATTAGCCACGTGACAACAAGAAGTTACTTTTTCGGAGCCTCGGCTTCTGTCTTTGTAGAAGGACGTGGGCGGGAAGACAAAGCGGGCATCTTGTGCAGTTGTTGTAAGGAGAGACGGGACAATTATGCGAAGCTATTAGCGCCGTGTCTGGGACACAGTAAAGAATATCATAATTGCTGTTATTAGTTCATAGCCGTCCTTCCATTACTGAATATTTCAGGTGTTTTCAGTGTATTTTTAAACAAATGTTAGGACATTTTTTGACTTAAATCTCTTTCCAGTGAAACCCCGTCTCTACTCAAAATGCAGAAAATTAGCTGGGCATGGTGGCGCGTGCCTGTAATCCCAGCTACTCAGGAGGCTGAGGCAGGAGAATGGCCTGAACCCAGGAGGCGGAGGTTGTGGCGAGCCGAGATCGTGCCATTGCACTCCAGCCTGGGTAACAAGAATGAAACTCCATCTCAAAAATGATAATAATAATAATAATCTCTTTCCACAATTCAGCTTTTTCCTTAGAGTATATACAGCTAGTGGTCCTGGGAATAAACACGTGTAAGTTCAAGTTCTGGAGTCAGGCTGCGTGAGCTGACGTCTCAGCCATACACGACTTACTTGTCTGTGATCCCACAAAAGTCACTTAACTGCTCTGTGCTTCAGGCTCCTCTTCTTTAAAATGAGATAATCATAGTATCATTTGTTGGCGGGTTAAGTGAGATGACAGATGGAAAGTGCCTCGTGCATACTGCCAATTACATGCTTTTACCTGCATGGAGCGCTAGGCTGAACACACAGTAGGCGGCCAATTAATACATATCATCTGAAACTGAATGAAGACCGGTCACTAGGAGTGTTCCTTGAGTTCTCTGGAAGATGTCCTGCCTCCTCATAAGCAGGTTAACCCAAGGCCAGTCCTTCCACATCTTACCCGCTTCCACCCTTTGGGAAGAACCTTTGGCAACTTCTTTCTTTGGAAACTGCCTTTGGAAAGCACCTTCCTTTCTGTCTCATTTTGACTTACAATACTGTTTGCCTGTTACGGTTTCCTTGACAAACTCCTAGATAGTGTAAGACCTCTCCAGAGGCTTCTGGGATGACAGGCTAAGTCCGTTTCTCCATTGGTGCCACCCAGGAGTCTAGGGACCCTTCCCGGGACTCATGCCGATAGCTCTTTCCTTCCTTTTCCACCCACAGCCTCTTGTGGTCTTGAGAGCTTCAGGTTACTTTATTCCAGGCTTAGGATTTGAGCACCTATTGTATGACAGCACAGGTCCTCAACACCTGGCCACGAAGTGTGGCCCATTAGGAACTGGGCCACATAGCCAGAGTTAAGTGGCCAGTGAGGAAGTATTATCACCTGAGCTCTGCCTCCTGCGAGAGCAGTGTGGGCGGAAGATTCTCACAGGAGCGTAAAAAGCCTATTGTGAACTGTACATGACAGGGATCTAGGTTGCATGCTCCTTATGAAAAGCTGATGCCTGACGATCTGAGGTGGAAGAGTTTCATCCCGAAACCATCACCCCTACCCCCACACCGGTCCGTGGAAAAACTGTCTTCAACAAAACCCAACCCTGGTGCCAAAAAGGTTGGGGACTGCTGATGTGTAGGGCAGTATCGTAAGTACCAGATACTACCTGAGCCAGCTCTTACCTCAGTATTCAACTCTTGTTGTGAACGTAAACAAACATTTAGTGCTTCAGAGATAAACCCAAGAGATATCCCCACTCACGTGAGTAAATTAAGCATGAAATTCAAATGGGAAGATTAGTTTATGCCAATTAATTACACAATAGGATTGCATTTCAACATGCTGGATAAAAGGGAGGGATGGTCAACTGGTAGTGACCATGATCTAATTTTCAAATATTCTCTTCCAACAAAGCTCGAAACCCAGGTCTAGAATCCTCATGGGTGATTTCCATCTAGATGTTCATGCACATTGTGATATGTCACTCCCAAACAAACCATCAGTTCATTCATCCCACGAAAGTTTATTAAGCACCTACTGTGTGCAAGGCACTGTTAGGATTCGTGGATTAATCAAAACAGGAAAGGCAAATACACAGCGAGGATTCCATAAACCCCTTATCCTTTGCCCAAGGGAGATACTCATCTTGCCGCAAGCCTGGACGTGGCCTCAGAATCCAACTCAACACAGGGCTCCAGGCAGTTATTATCAATCAAATGGAATCGACATGCCAATTAAACCTGTTTGCAATCTTGGAGCTACAGAGAATATGGATACAGAAGAACCCAGGAGGTCAAGGCTGCAGTGAGCTGAGACTGTGCCACTGCACTCCAGCCTGAGTGACAGAGAGAGACCCTGTTTCAACCACGCCCACCCCAAAACTAAAACAAAAACCCACCCTGGTCTGGAAGTTGGACGCTGTATCCAACCCTGGGGAACCCACTGGGGAGAATACGGAGACAAAAGAAAGAAGCCCAAGCAGCATCGGTCGTCTCGAAATGAGGCAGGAGAATTTTCCAAACAGCTCCATAGCTCTGCAACCACACAAGCTAAGCCAACACCGCCTAGGGTGAGGGACGCTAAGGGCACACAGGCTGCTATTTGACCTTGAGGAAGTCACTGGCATCTAGGTGAGCTCCAGTTTTCCTATTTATAAAACGGGAGTGATGATAACTGTGCCTGCGTCACAGGGCTGTGGTAAGTAAATGCAATGCGTTCCATAATGCAGTGGAGTTAGCATGTAATGACGCAGTGTGTCTACCAATGTCTGTCCGACAGCAAGCCATTTGCTTTCAACAACTAAATGTAGAATTTATTAGGTAAAGAAGAATAAAAAAAAAATTATCTGTTTCCAACCAACCCATCAGTAGGAGGGCATTCTGGACATTTGATAAAACAGAAAGTTTTTAGGCCCAAGTTCTACAACTGAAGGTATCTTATTTCCATAAGGAAATGTGCTCATTAAACCTTACAGAGCTTGTTTCCAGGAACTGCCACAAGGGCGTATGTTGCTCTACCCCACCCTGAAACAGGCCCCATCAGACAGAGGCAATAGTGTAAGATGGCAGTGTATCTCTCTTGCCTGGTCAAATGCCCCAAAGGCATATATTCTTTGACTTATGAAAGGAGACCCTTGCCAAACACACAAAATATTACAACAGAACTCGCATCTAGAAATCAGTGACAGTGTCAGACATCCTATGCTCCTATTCTGCCTTTTTTTGTTGGCAAATATTTATCATAATTACATTACAAACACAATATAAGTCCTATGCAAACATCTAGGAAATATAGAGGAGATAAACCACTATTTAGGAGCCAAAAAATGTTAACATTTTGATATCTAGGTATCCAAACTTTTCCCTCTAGATGTTTAAATTTTAAGAAATAAGAGATTTTTAAATTTAAAATCTCTGCTTAACTTCTCTCTTTCTCTCTCCCTCTCTCTAGTTTATCATTACAACTTCAAGATCCAATTCATCAACCAACGTGAGAAGCCAACAGAAACCATTTTCACCATGTCCTTACTCGGAACGAAAGAGAAAATGCAGAAAATTCCCATCACTCTGTGAGTAGGAGGTGTAGCCCCCCCAGGGTGAGGACACGCTTATTTTTCTCGTCGAGTATAAATGGACTCTGTAATTTTCAAGGATCAGGCCAGCCACGGCTACTTTATTCCAGATGTAAACCAAAGAGCATCTGAGACAAGTCTCAATGTATTTAGCAGTTAATTTTGCCAAGGATAAGGACATACCAGTGACACAGCCTCAGGAGGTCCTAATGGCCTGTATCCAGGGTGGTCAGGCTATGGCTCGGTTTTATACATTTTAGGAAGACATAAGACATCAATCAGTACTCGTAAGATGTACACTGGTTCGGTCCAGAAAGGTGGTTTGGGGATGGGAGTGCGGGGGAACTTCCAGGTCCTGGGTACGTTCAAAGATTTTCTGATTGGCATTGGTTGAATGAGCTTATCCAAAGATCTAGAATCAATAGAAGGGAGTGTCTGATTAAGATAAGGGCTTGTGGAGACCAAGGTTCTTTTTTTTTTTTTTTTTTTTGAGACGGAGTTTCGCTCTTGTTACCCAGGCTGGAGTGCAATGGGGCAATCTCAGCTCACTGCAACCTCCGCCTCCTGGGTTCAGGCCATTCTCCTGCCTCAGCCTCCTCAGTAGCTGGGATTACAGGCACCCGCCACCATGCCCAGCTAATTTTTTGTATTTTCACTAGAGACAGGGTTTCACCATGTTGACCAGGATGGTCTCGATCTCTTGACCTCGTGATCCACCCGCCTCACCCTCCCAAAGTGCTGGGATTACAGGCGTGAGCCACCGCGCCTGGTCCCAAGGTTCTTATTACTCAGATGGAGCCGGCTTCAGAGAGAATTGATTGTAAATGTTTCTTAACAGACTTAAAAAGGTCCCAGACTTATTTAGTTCTCTCCCGGATCCGTGAAAAGACCAGGAAAGGGAAGGTTGTTCTCTACAGAATGTGGGTTTTCTCCCCAAGGGACAGCTGTTCAGGGTCCTTTCAAAATATGTCAAGGAAACATTTTTTAGGTTAAAATAGTTTAATTTTTTTCAGGGCCTGTTGTCTGTCAGGCTGGAATTTGGTGTCTTATTGCTACAAAAAGTCTGGTTCATCAGTCTTAAACTCTGTGTTTTAATGTTAATGCTGGTCAGTTGCGCCTGAATTTCAACGGGAGGGGACTATAATGAGGGATGTCCCCCCCCACCAATCTCCTCTTCTCATCATGGCCTGAACTGGTTGTTCAAGTTAACTTTGGAATGCCCTTAGCTGAGAGGAGGCGTCCATTAGATGGTTTGGGGGCTTAGAATTTAATTTATAGTTTACACAGGGTTGAGCTTTTGAACAGCAATCATGTACAGGGCACTGTGGTAGGTGCCAGATACCACCTGACCTAGCTCTTACCTAAAGCAGAAAACGCTTGGTCCGCAAATCACCTCTTAGTATTTGGTTCTTCTTGTAAACATAAATAAATATTTGGTGCTTCAGAGACACCCCCTTTGGTAAGCCCAGCTCATCTCACATGGCCAACCTGGTCAGACAGGACATCCACCCATGCCCAGGCACTCACATCCCTCCTCAACCTCTATACAACATAAGTCCTGTATAGATATTTGGGAAACACAGAGAAGGAAGAACAAGATAAACCACCATTTAGGAGCAAAAAAGTGTGGTTAACATTTTGATATCTGTCTATCCTAACTTTTCCCTCCTTTTCCCTCCCACCACCTGCTTAATGTTACACACTGTGGGCTGAGCAGACAGGGAAGCCAGGGGTGGCCCCACCAGGACCTGCAGTGCAGAGGCGAGTGGTAAGGGGCAGAGCATTTGTCCCCAAGAAGTTCCCCAGAGCCTCTCCAGTGAGTTCATGACCCAGAAATGAAAGTTGTGTCTTTTGACTTGGCACAGATTTCCAATTTCAGTCAGCCTGCTCTGCCAGCTCCCCGTCTGTCCTTCACCCTGTTACCCACCTGCTCACTCTGAGGCTTCCCGGCCTCTCTGGCCTCTCAGCCTTCAGCATGGACTCTCCCTGGGAAGTGACACTAGCCCCTCACCCACTCAGGTATGGTCCTAAGCTTCTCGAAGATTGCCCCCAGCTTGGGATCTCTGATCATCACACTGATTCAGTCATTCAGGAGGCGTTTGCTGGTGCTCTGCCCAACACCCACCTAAGGATACAGAGGACCCTAGCATCTGGAGGCTCACAGCCTGGCAGGGCGGGGGATTCCTAAACAGTTCTTCACAGCACACTCAGGAAGAGCTATGCCAAGCCACACCAGGGACCCCTCCATCCAGCTGCCCTTCCCTAAATCCAGTGCTGCCTCTGCACTGCCGAAAATCTCACCTAGGAGATGGTTCTCAGTAGTGGAAAGGGCATCTCACCACTCTGTCAATGTTGGGATATTTCAGCGTCTTGGAGACGAGTGAGTAAGCTGATAATGATACCTCAGAGTCTGCATTTAAATCTTGCTCTAAATCGACGCATCCTTTTTACGTGTGGTTTTTCTATTACAGTTATACTTCACTGTTTTAACATTGATTTCTACTTATATGGGGGGAGGAGCATTACTCGGGAGAGAGGCAGACTGTGTTAACCCTACCGAAAGCTCAACTGTCCAGACGCCATTGCCAAAGCCCCCCCGTCTCCACAGGGGCTTCTTCCTAGAATCGAAGCTGAGGTGGGTGGATCACGAGGTCGAGAGATCGAGACCATCCTGGTCAACATGGTGAAACCCCGTCTCTACTAAAAATACAAAAATTAGCTGGGCATGGTGGCGCGTGCCTGTAATCCCAGCTACTCAGGAGGCTGAGGCAGGAGAATTGCCTGAACCCAGGAGGCGGAGGTTGCGGTGAGCCGAGATCGCGCCATTGCACTCCAGCCTGGGTAACAAGAGCGAAACTCCGTCTCAAAAAAAAAAAATCGAAGCTAAAGAAAGTTAACTAGATTTGTTATAGCAGGACTTCTCAGAGATTTTTTCCCAATTTTATCATCTGGAAATCCCTTTTTTATCCCGGCATACCTATTGCTAGCTCTAACAATAGTGTATTGAACACCAGTTTGGGAAATGACCAAAAATCCCAAGTCACTCAGGCAGACATAACGCATCCCGAATGTGTGTAAGCATCACTGTGCTGTTACAGCCAAACTGATTGTGTCTGATTTTCTTTGTATATTCAAGGGACAAAGGAGTTGCTAGTAATAAAACGTATTCCTTTCTCATCACGCTGGAAGCGGACATCGGTGAGCTGGTCATGATCAAGTTCTGGTGGGAAAGCAGCGCAGGGTGGGCCAACGTGTGGGACACGGTCCAGACCATCATCCCGTGGGGCCCCAGGCCCCCCGACTCGGGCCTCCTCCTGAAGACGATCAGAGTCAAGGCCGGGGAAACCCAGCAAAGGTGACTGGTGCTTCAGTCTGCTTCTAACATCTGCCAAGCAGCTATTTGGGCCGATTCAGAACAGAATGCTCACGTTCGTCATGTGAACTATTACGCCCTAGCGAGGGAGTGCAGAAGCTTAGAGAGGTGAAGGGACTGTCCCAACTTCACACAGCCGTGGGTGCAGGGACGAGGACTCACACCCCGGTCTCTGGATCCCACACCAGCGTCTCCCCACTGCCCAGGGCTGATGCTACCTGCCCCTGGAGGCTGAGAACCTCCACCCTAGCCCAAGAATTCTCAAGCTTCAGTGCAGGTGAATCACCCTGCGATGTCCGCGCCACCGGTCGGAGGTGCTGTGCTAGACACAACATCTCCTTCTTGTTCTTTGCCCAAATAACCGCTTTTAACAGATCACAATCTCACAAATCCCAATGTTATCTCTCTCTTTCTCTCTGTGGTGGTATCTTTCGAATGTCAGATGCCAAACAATTACTGGGAAGCCTAACACATTTGCAGAATTCCTGCACCAACCTGCATAGCTTCTGATTCCTGGCGGTCTTGAGAAGGGATCCAGGATGTCTGTTGTTGAATAAGAGCATTAAGAGATAAGAAATGCTGCTGCTGTGTTTGATTTAACATCCCCCATGACCCAAAGTCTCCAGGGATAAGAAGGTGTTGGGGCGGGTAGTAGAGAAAGGAGGGAAGAGGCAGGGCACGGGGGCTCACACCTGTAATCCCAGCACTTTGGGAGGCCAAGACAGGCCAGTCACCTGAGGTCAGGAGTTTAAGACCAGCCTGGCCAACACAGTGAAACCAATCCCTACCAAAAAACAAAAATTAGCTGGGTGTGGTGGCTCATGCCTATAATCCCAGCTACTCGGGAGGCTGAGGCAGAAGAATTGCTTTAACCCAGGAGACTGAGGTTACAGTGAGTGGAGATCACGCCACTGCACTCCAGCCTGGGTGACAGAGAAAGACTCTGTCTCAAAAAGAAGAAAGAAAAGGAAGGAAGGAAGGAAGGAAGGAAGGAAGGAAGGAAGGAAGGAAGGAAGGAGGGAGGGAGGGAGGGAGGGAGGGAGGGAGGGAGGGAGGGAGGGGAGGGAGCGAGGAAGGGAGAGAGAAAGAGAAAGAGAAAAAGACGAAAAAGAAAGAAAGAAAGAGAGAGAGAGAGAGAAAGAGAGAAAAGAAAGAGAGAGAAAGAGAAAAGGCAGATGGTCCAGCACTCCTGAAATCCTCCCAACAGAGCAAGGGCTGCCCAGCGTACCCTGCCACAGTGACTGTGCTTTTCTGCTATCCATGTTCTCCATGGCAGAATTCCGGGCTTCCCCGGGCCCTCCCCTCTCTCCTCCCTGCTCTATTCGGGACGTGGTCTCTCCTCTCCCATCTTCCCTTGTGAACTCCATGTTTCTCTTTGGCTTGTCCTCACAGAGGGGGAAAACAGCAGGCTTCTAATCCTGAACCACCCCCTGGGTTTCACTGCCAGGAGCTGGCCTGTGGCAGATTTATGCCCCCGAGTCCCTTATACAATCACACTGTCAGATTTTATCTCCCTGGCAATTCCTAAGAGCATACTCTGCCTTCTGCCAACAGATCTCCCAACGTGATCCATTCGGGAAGATGAAACTGCTCACTCCTCTTCTGCACTGAGCTCTTCTCACGCGACTCTTTGGCCCATTAGAGCAGTGCCGCTTCTGAGCTCCCACCCTGCCCACACGCTCTTAGCCGGAGGGTAATTCCTCAGTTCGGGTGGCTGCTCACCCTGCCAGTCCCACGTGGCTTGAGCTGAAAGGTTGTCTAAAGCACAGCACTGCCTTCTCCACTGGGGCACACCCATGTGGTACCAAAGAAGAAATGAGGAGAGGGAGGGGCCTGGCGCTTTCAGGGCTCCCACATGTGGTGGGCATTGAACGAGGCGCTCCATGCATCGATCTCATGTGATCTTTGCTGTGATCCTGAAATGGGCAGTATTGGCCATGCAGAGTAGGAACCGGGGCTCACAGAAGTTACACAGCTTGAGGACATGGCTCCGAATTGTCCCAGTCCAGATTTGACTGCAGTTTGTCTGATTAATTACCCATTCGTTGACGGTGTACTGTTTCCAACAATTCCTTCTTCCATTCATTTTGGTTCCATTAATCTGAATGTTCTCAGTCTAATCTAGCAGAGTTGGGGGGCTGGATATTAACATATACATGCATCAAACCCATCCTTAGGTGTACAGGAGGCTGAGGCAGGAGAATCGCATGAATCTCCAGGAGGCGGAAGTTGCAGTGAGACAAGATCTCACCACTGCACTCCAGCCTGAGGGAGTGAGCGAGACTCCACTTCAAAAAAAAAAAGGAATGAAGTACTCGGCAGCCCTCCTTCGTTCCCCTCGTGACAGGTCATGAAGGTGTGAGGGTGACTGGTCCTTGACCACATTTGCCTTGACTTTGGGGCCAACTTTTTTAGTTCCTTAACCCTTTCTCCCAAGGCAGCCCTACCTCCCCAGCCTTCCCTCCTTGGACAAGCTCCAGTTTGTCAAGGCTGGTTTTTTTGGGTTTTTTTTGAGATGGAGACTCACTCTTGTCACGCAGGCTGGGGTGCAGTGGTGCGATCTCTGCTCATTGCAACCTCCACCTCCTCCGAACCTTGAATCTTCCAAGTTCAAACGATTCTCCTGCCTCAGCCTCCCAAAGTAGCTGGGATTCCAGGCACATGCCAACACACCTGGCTAATTTTTGTATTTTTAGTAGAGATAGGGTTTCACCGGGTTGGTCAGGCTGGTCTCGAACTCTGACCTCATGATCAGCCCACCTCAGCCTCCCAAAGTGCTGGGACTACAGGCGTGAGCCACCACACCTGGCCCCTTTCATTCTTACAGAACTGAAATCACCCCAGGCAGAACTCCAGGAAGTCTTATACTGATTGCTTTCACTGTCTTGGGTTTTGTTTTTCTCTGATGTTACAAAAATATTTGTGAAGGCCTAGGGAGGTGGATCATGAGGTCAAGAGATCTAGACCATCCTGGCCAATATGGTGAAACCCCGTCTCTACTAAAAATACAAAAATTAGCTGGGCATGGTGGTGCGTGCCTGTAGTCCCAGCCACTCGGGAGGCTGAGGCAGGAGAATTGCTTGAACCTGGGAGGTGAGGTTGCGGTGAGCCAAGATCACACCACCACACTCCAGCCTGGCACCTGGCGACAGATAGAGAATCCATCTCAAAAAAAAAAAGACATTACATAAATTGAGTAGCATTTGATAAAAGACGAAACATTTCAATGAGCTCCACCTAATACTTACTGCTGTGTTTGCTTTCTGTTTTCTATTCAGAATGACATTTTGCCCAGAAAACACAGATGATATACAACTTCGCCCAACCCAGGAGAAACGCTTCGTGAAATGTGAATTAAAGTCTAAAAACTCAAAGCAAAAGATCAGATGAGATTTAATGAAGACCCAGTGTGAAGAATAAATGAATCTTACTCCTATCTGGAATGGCTGCCTTATTTAGAATCCAAGATTACAAAAAGAACCTCACATAAAGTTAAAATAAGATTTAGATTTAAAGGGGATATGTTTCACTCTCACAAGCTGAGCTTTTCAAAACTATGATAGAACTATTTTCCGGTATTAGTACAACTAAAACTTTCCCAATTTTATCTCTAATTAAATATTAATTTATGCAAATCAGTGCAAGCGCAAGAGCTATTTTAGCTCTGTTGTTCTCATTTACAACGTCTTTGATAATTAAGTTTCACACATTTCTTTGCTAGTTTATTCTGACCAGTTTTTGAACCATGCTGGAAAGGTACATTTTTACTAGGTAACTAGTGTTCCAATAAAGCAAATTCTAATTTATCACCGCTAGTTATGTATGCCAAAATACATACCCTTTAAGACAATACAGATCATAAAAGAAAAATTCTAATTATTCTAAGAGTTATAAAATCAGATACTCATTTCACAGAACCAAGCACTTAGAAGTAGAATTCTACTAAAACTGCTAGTGATAACGGTGAAAGCTGGACAGTTGGTCATTTTAATAATGAAATTACAAATTAAGGGGAATGATCCAAGATGGCCGATCGCTAATATCTTGGGATTGCAGCTCTCAGTGAAAGCACAAGGAACTAGAGGACGCCACACTTTCAGACAAATTCAGGTCGCTCACGGAGCAGAAGATCCCCAGTGGAGGAGTCACACAGGTCGCCAGCACGACTCTTGTGGCCGGCGCAGCGGCTTCGCCGGCACCTCGGCGCAGCAGCTCTGGGAGCAGAGTAAACAGGGCCGGTTCCCCTTCTGACGGAGGTTTGGAGCCCGGGGAAGGCAGAGTCGCCCATTACGGAAACAAGAAGGAAGCCAGACAGGAGAATCCCGGGCAGAAAAGCACCATCAGTCTTAACGCCGCCGTTCTGGCCCTGGGAACTAACAACCTGGACGTCCACTCAAGAGACCTAATCTGAAAGTTGGTAATTTCAAAGATGACAGGAGGATAAATTTACAATGATGGGAAGAAACCAGCGTAAAAAAGCTGAGACTACTCAAAGTCAGAACGCCTCTCCCTCTAAAGATGATCACAGTTCCACATCAACAATGGAACAAGGCTTGACGGAGAATGAGCTCATCCCAATGACAGAATCACTCTTCAGGGAATGGATAATAAGAAACTTCTGTGAGTTAAAAGACCATGTTGTAGCCCAACGTAAAGAAACTAGGAACTTTGAAAAAAGGTTTGATGAAATCCTATTGAGAACAGACAACTTAGAGAGGAATATAAGTGAATTAATGGAACTGAAGAATACAATACAGGAACTCCGAGAAGTATGCACAGGTTTAAACACTCGAATTGTTCAAGCAGAAGAAGGGATATCAGAGGTCAAAGTCCAACTTAATGAAAGAAAACAAGAAGACAAGATTAGAGATAAAAGGATAAAAAGGAATGAGCAAAGTCTCCAAGAAATGTGGGACTATGTGAAAAGACCAAATTTACGTTTGATAGGTGTACCTGAATGTGACGGAGAGAATGAATCAAAGCTGGAAAATACCCTTCAGGATATTATTCAGGAAAATTTTCCTAACTAGCAAAGCAGGTCAACATTCAACCCCAGGTAATACAGAGAACACCACAAAGATATTCCTCAAGAAGAGCAACCCCAAGGCATATAATCATTAGATTCACCAGGGTTGAAACGAAGGAGAAAATACTAAGGGCAGCCAGAGAGAAAGGTCAGGTTACCCACAAAGGCAAGCCCATCAGACTCACAGCAGATCTCTCAGCAGAAACTCTACAAGCCAGAAGAGAGTGGGGGCCAATATTCAACATCCTCAAAGAACAGAACCTTCAGCCCAGAATTTCATATCCAGCCAAACTAAGCTTCACAACTGAAGGAAAAATAAAATCTTTTATGAACAAGCAAGTACTCAGAGATTTCATTACCACCAGGCCTGCTTTACAAAAGCTTCTGAAAGAAGCATTACACACAGAAAGAAACAACCAGTATTAGCCTTTCTAAAAATACACCAAAAAGTAAAGAGCACCAACATAAAGAAGAATTTACATCAACGAATGGATAAAACAGTCAGTTAACATCAAATGACAGTAACCCTAAATTTAAATCGACTAAATCCCCCAATCAAAAGATACAGCCAAAACCCAATGGCAGCCAGGTGCGGTGGCTCAAGCCTGTAATCCCAGCACTTTGGGAGGCTGAGGCAGGTGGATCACGAGGTCAGGAGATCAAGACCATCCTGGTCAACATGGTGAAACCCTGTCTCTACTAAAAATACAAAAAATTAGCTGGGCACGGTGGCATGTGCCTGTAATCCCAGCTACTCAGGAGGCTGAGGCAGGAGAATTGCCTGAACCCAGGAGGTGGAGGTTGCAGTGAGCCGAGATCACACCATTGCACTCCAGCCTGGGTAACAAGCGCGAAACTTCGTCTCAAAAAAAAAAAAAAAAAACCCAATGGCATGTTACATCCAGACCTGTTTCACATGCAAGGATACACAAAGACTCAAAACAAAGGGATGGAGAGAGATTTACCAACCAAATGGAGAGCAAAAATAAATAAATAAATAAATAAATGAAAGGCAGGAGTTGCAATTCTCGTATCAGATAAAATAGATTTTAAAGCAACAAAGATATAGTGGTAAAAGGATCAATGCAACAACAAGAGCTAACGATCCTAACACCCAGATACATAGAGACTTAGATTCAATGAGACAGAAAATTAATAAGGATATCAAGGACTTGAACTCAGATCCGGAACAAGTAAACTTAATAAATATTTATAGAGCTCTCCACTTCAAATACACAAAATATACATTCTTGTCAATACCACATCACACCTACTCATAGGTTTAAATGAAACATTGATTGGCCATTATTAATACCCATTTTTTTTAATAAAGCAATATTTCCGTTCACCCTCCCTCTTTCTCTTCCTCTTTCTTCCTCTCCTTTACTCATTCTTTTTTTCTTTCCTTCTCTCAAAAAAAAAAAAAAAAAAAAAGAAAAAAAAAGAAATCAACTTGTAAACCTCTAGATCCAGGTCAGCAATGTCTCCCTCATTGCTTGATTTCCTTCCTTCCCTTCCCTCCCTTTCTCCCTCCCTCCTCCCTTCCTTCCTTCCTTCATCCCTTCCTTCCTCCCTCCCTTCCTCCTTCCCTCCCTTCCTGCCTTCCCCCTTCCTCCTTCCCTCCCTTCCTGCCTTCCTCCCTTCCTCCCAAAAAAAAAGAAATTACAAATTAAATAAATATAATTATTGTCTCTTACTCATGCTTGCGACTAAAGCTAACAAAAAACTTGGAATATCTCAAAGAGTTTGCTATATGGACTGAAGGTTGGAGTCAACCCAAAATTCATATACTGAAATTTATCCCCAGTGTGATGGTATTTGGAAGTGGGGCTCTAGGAGGTGATTAAGTCATGAGGGTGCAGCCCTCATAAATGGGATTAGTGCCCTTATAGGGGTTAAAGGACCAGAACTCTCTGACATGTGCAGATACAAGAAGGCAACTCTATGCAAACCGGGAAGTAAACCCTCACCAGACTACCAGATCTGCTGGTACCTTTATCTTGGACTTCCCAGGTCCCAGAACAGTAAGAAATAAATGTTTCTTGTTTAAGCCATCCAGTCTACGGTAATTTGCTATAGAAGCCTGAACTGACTGAGAAAGTTAGATGTCAAATTTCAAACTGTCCAATAAGTGAAATTATAATATTTTGATCACCAAATTCTATCACAGAGCACATGGTGACAACGGGTACTAAATATGGTAATCAGTTAGATACGTGTTTTACATAATTCAGAGAGGAACATGCCATGCACATTAATCAGCCTAACCTAACATGCACATCGGCTCAGCTCTACACAGCCCATAATTCACGTTCCCTTCACCAAAGCCGGGTAAACGGGGGCTCATGGAAACAAAAATCCGGGAAAGACGTCTGCCTCTGACTAATCACTTTTAAATTAACTTGCATGATTCACTTTTCTTTCCCTTTGAAAGACCTAGAAATCTAAAAAGTTTGGGGTGAGGGAGGAAACGTTTAAGGAAGCACTCATGCCTTTTGCCTTTGCACAAGGACATAAAAAATAGATACAGTATGATATAGGAGGAAAAGCTGGTCCAAGTTTCCAAATGAAGCATTCTGTCCTGCAAAAGTCTTTGTCCCCACTTTGAGGGAATGTGCGTGAATATGTGTCTAAAACTGATACTAAAATGAACAATATTTTCCATTATGTCTAAAATACTAAGGTTTACAATAAAATATTTGCATTGGATCGCCAGGTTTTATCATTAACAATCCAGAAGGAATTTAAAATATCACTTTCAATAAACAGCAGAGAAACACTCTTTGCTATGTACACAACAGAGTCCACGCATATGTATTCCAGGAGACATGCATGAGCCTTGAAATCATCAGAAACAGCCCAAACGTCTGCCGGTACAACGCAGAAATGAACTGGGGCATAGTCTTGCTAATGGGCTGTCATACAGCCATAAGAAAGATGAACCAAAGCTCCACACACACAAGAACAGGGCTGGGGCCAGCGTGAGGCAGCAACGCATCTAGGGAGCAACGTTTAAGGAAGCACTCATGCCTTTTGCCTTTGCACAAGGACATAAAAAATAGATATAGTATGATACAAACAAAACCAACCTATATTGTTAGGGATGGGTAAACAGGTGGCAAAACTCTAAATAAAAGCAATAACAGGCCGGATGCAGTGGCTCACACCTGTAATCCCAACACTTTCGGAGGCCAAGGCAGGCGGATCACTTGAGGTCAGGAGTTCAAGACCAGCCTGGCCAACAAGGTAAAACCCCTGTCTCTACTAAAAACACAGAAATTAGCCAGGCGTGGTGCATACCTGTAATCCCAGCTATTTGGGAGGCTGAGGCACAAGAATCCCTTGAACCCAGGAGGCAGAGATTGCAGGGATCCGAGATCTTGACATTGCACTCCAGCCTGGGCAATGAGACTCTCCGTTTCAAAAAACAAAGAGAAAAGGAAACAACAAAATCACCATCACAAAAGTGAGGCTGTGATAGTCCCAGGAAAGAGGAAGGGCACCCTGCAGCTCCAGGTGCCAGCAAAAGTCTACACACACGTTCACTGACTTAACCGTTCCACTCCGTCCACATCTCATGCATTTTAGCATGAATGTCACCTCCACAGTGTGAAGATAA